TATCTGCCTTTGCTGGACATTTGACCACCTTGAGTGTCTGTCCCTCTTTAGCCATGCAAGGAGTCCATTAGCCTTCTTTGAGAAAATAACACAATGAGAACTCATGCAATCTTGTGTATCCTCTATGACTTGCAAAGTTTTTTCAGACATCTTTCTGTAAGGATGTCTTTTATTCCTCCATGTCCCTACCTGAATACATTTCTCCTGCCTGTAAAAAAGTGTATTTTGTTTGAATACTTACCAAGTTATCCAGATCTCTTTGAGTGGCCTGTTCCTCTTGGTGTTTATCACCCTATTCATCTTTGTGTCATCTGCAGGGTTTTACCTGCAGTGGTTTTGTATTTACTTTCAAACCATGGACGGAAATGTTGACCAGTTTTCATTCAACTATTGACCCCTACAGACACTAACCAAAGTCTTGCATTCAAAAAAGCCATGTTCCTATTCTTTAATTGTCTATCAGCAAGCATCTGTACCATACTTTCCATTATTTTTCAGTCCATAGTTTTCAGCTACCTGTCCTATAGATCCATTGGTTTTAGGGCTTTTCCACTTTAAATACAGGAATTGTGCTGGTACCTTAACACTCCTCTGCTATTCCTACAGTAATCAAACAGTGATTAAAAACAAATCTTAGCAGGCCAGAGTTGAGCAGCATTTATTATGTTATTGGGTAATGAAATATTCTAAGAGGTGGAAGCAAACAGAAGAAAATTGTATCTTGAGCAGGGTGAGCACAATGCTCATTGATAAGGAAGGTTGGGAACTTGGAACAAAGACACAAGGAATAAGAGATGTAGAGTGCAGGAAAAGTACAGAATAGTAGTATGGTGGTGATGTTGTTGAGAGAGGAATGAATGAAAGGTGTTTACCAGGTGATGGGTAGTAGAAAGGGAATGTTAGTGGGGAATGTAAGTAATGGTAAAATGCCAGTGGGTGAGAAAAAGCTGGAAAAAGAGAGCTGGAGGTTGGGGAACTACAGAAGAGTATGTGCAGGAAAGGATCTGAGGTGAAAGAAAAGCTGGGACACTAGAACCTATGGTGCTGGAACAGTGCATTTTTAGAAGTTCCGAAGCCACTGAGAATGGAAACTGAGCTGAGGATGTTTCCAGCAATAGGATCAGGCCAAAAGCTGGAAGAGCATAATCCTGGGGACTGGAAAGAAGTAGCAAAGTAAGAAGAGCTTCTAACACTTAGTTCTTTCCTTGCTACCTCTTTCCAGGATTAAAATGTGCACCTAGAAGGACATTGGGGGATTAGGAGAGGTGTGTTGCTGGGGAGAGGTTAAAGCGGTGGTAGGTAATGGGAGAAGGAAGGTCTTCTAGAGGGGTAACCAGGCATCTAAAAGAGTGTGGAGACATCTTCTTAGGACCTGAAGGCACTACAAGGGAGGAGGTGTGCTTGGGCTAGGGTTGGATAGCCTTGGAAATGGTTCCTTGGGACTGAAGGATTCAGGAGAATAGGAACAGGGAAGAAGTGGCAGTGGAGGTTTGTACAGAGAGGGGCTGGCTCTATGAGGAGTGAGCGGTCAGTTTGGAGGAGGATGAGGAGTGAGAGCAAGGCATTGGTGTATGACTGCTGTGGTTATTCTTACAGATAAATTTATCCAATCTGTGGTTACAGCTCGTCTGTTAGCCTTTCTCAGTGATGCCCAGGCCGACCACCCTCACAGTGCTACTGTCTTCTCAGCTGAATCATACATACAGATATTCGTGGCAGTGAGCTCACCTTTCCACTTGCACCTAAGCCACCTGAGGAGGGAGAGGAGTGAATTTAGCAGGACTGTTGGTGTTTGCAGAAGGCCATTTTCCTGAGTGATGGGAACTAGAGTGGGACACTTGTGCAAACTGACGCTGAGACTCCTGCTGCTAACAACCCTCCTCACAGAAGAGCCCGTCTGTCACCTAGTCCTGAATACAAGGAAATGGGAAGAAATGAATGACAGTGGGCAGCTTACAATGTGCAATTTTCTGTGGCTTTCTCCAACACCCCACGTCCATGGCTCCTACCACCTTCTAAATGCCGTCATCACTCCCCAGATAACATCTGCAGCCACCATGCTGGGGGGTCCCCAGCACCTGTACCCCCCTGGCCTGAAGCCACCCTTCAAGAGTCCTGGTGGAGGCCCAGGCAGCTTCCAGGGGTGGCCCCTGCCTTGCGCAGGTTGTCCTGAGATGGCCGCAGGCTCTGTCATGCCCCTGCTCTCCCACAGCAAATAGGGCCCCACAGGCATTTTATTATGAGGGAAAAAAGAGTCACATACAGAAACACAAAAGTAAATATTTTCTCTATTTTGAGACAAGTCGGGTTCTGCAGCCCCTAGAAAACACCCTGGAGTCCCTGTGGCCAGGAGGCGAATGGGTGCTTCACACACAGACAGTCGTTTCCAAGAGAAAGGAGTCTTTTCAAAAGAGGGTTTTTAAGTCCCAAGGAAACACAAGGAGGGGGCACTGGGCAGCACTGAGCCATGAGGTGAGGACCATCAGATGGAGAAGGAGCTTGGCTCCGTGGCAGCAGGAACAGGACTGCAGAGAAGTTGCTCTCACGGCCTCTCACACCCAGGCCACTGTGGTGCCCCAGACTCTGAAGCCCCTCACAGGGTGAGACCCACCTTCCCTCCCCCCATGGGGAGTGGGCTCTAGGGTTTCACCGCAGCCTCCTCGCTGTGCCCGTCCTCCAGCCGCCAAGGGCAATCGACGTAGCGCAACGCCCCGCTGACGGGGCTGCGCTTGGCGGGATCTAGGGCCAGCAGGCTCCGCAGCATTAGGGCAGCCTCAGCCGTCAGGCGTTTCCCGTTTGCCTGTGGGGGGGCAGGCCCTCCCCCAGGCCAGTCTGCTGCCACAGCATGAAGTCCTCAAAGAAAGGGTCATCTGGCAGGCTCTGCTCCCAGGGGAAGTAGCCAGTCAGCAGGCAGAAGAGCAGCACGCCAAAGGCCCAGGCATCCAAGCTGGTGTCGATGGGCACCCCCTGGGCATCAGCGGTGTTGCTCAGCTCGGGGGCTGTGTAGGGGATTACCCCGGCCACCAGCTTGAGCTTGGTACCTTTGGGCCGCGTAAGCCCAAAGTCAGTCAGCTTGATGCGCCGGCACTCGGGATCAAAAAGCAGCACGTTCTCAGGCTTCACATCACGGTACACGAGCCCTCGGCTGTGGATGAACTCCAGTGCACTCACGAGCTGCATGGCACAGTGCTTTGCAGCTGGCTCAGGAATCCCATCCTGTGCAGGGAGAGAGACAGGCAGTCCAGCACGTGCAGGGCACCTCAGCAGCCTGGACAGCTGGGCTCTCACTCACTCTGCTCTTCCCCAGGGAAGACCCTTGCATTTCTGGTCTTGAAAGCCTGAAGCTGTCTCAACGCTGTAGACCCCAGAGAGACCCACAGCCCATTGCCTTTATCTCCTGCTCTCCAACCCAGCCAGCCTGCACAGGAGCCAAATGCTACAGACCCATTCCCCATGGCATTGTAGCAGCACTTACTCGGGGTTTGATGATAGAGATGAGGTCTTTGTGCAGTGCTGGTTCGTAGAGGAAGCCATAGTATTGGCTGGACTCAATAGCAATTCCAAACATGCTGATGATGGCAGGGTGGGTGGCGAGGGAGAGTGCCACGCAATACTCATACAGGAAGGTATGCAGCTTGGTACTGGCTTTGGGTAGCAGCTTGAGAGCCATTGGAGTCCCTGGGGGTGGAGAGAGTGGGTTAGACTCCCCCAAAAGCCACTCACAGCAAGGCCAGACAGAGAGGGTACTGAGCAGCCATGGGTCCAGACACTCACAGCCACAGGGAGGTCTCTGGCTGGAAGCTTTGTGTGGATATATCCTTTGGACACCAAATCTGGGAGCAGGCACTGCTGCTGGTGTGAGTTTTGAGCCAGTCAGTCCGTGCACAGGAGCACTGGGCAGAGCAAGGGAAATTCAGGCTATGTGGGCCCATCAGTCTGAGCTGGGACTACTGGGGAAGAGTAGTGTCAGGGCCCTGTGGGCACTCATAGACCTCAACAGCCTTGGCCAGCCCTACTTAGAACCTCTGTTCACACCCTCTGTCCATGGGCCTTAGGGCAACAACTAAGCTCAGGCGTGGGGCTTCACTCCCTGCCTGAGCTATGTGGTGGGAGTGCTGGTCTCCAGCTATATCATATCCATGCTAGTGCCCAGCTGTGAACTCTATTGATCCCGGCTTGTGGATTGACTTCCCAGCTTGACTTTGCACCAGCCTCATCACTATAACCTTGCCTGATGTTCTGGCCTGCTCCCTGGCATCACCTGCTCCCTGGCTGGGTGCAGTGGGATGGTCCCTAGCTGGGGAGGTCCCTGTCCTGACAGTCTCCCTGGGGACCCCCCACCATGCCTCGTGCCTCACCCCAAGGAGCCACCAGCCCACCCGGCATCCAGACTAGCAGAAAGGAAGCAAGACAAAGTAGCTCATAGGGTGCATTCAGTTCCTTACCTCTCTGTCTGTGGGTCACTAGCATCACATGGCCATACTTGCCCCTGCCCAGCTCCCGAATAACTTCATAGTGCTCGGCCACCTCGGTGCGCACCAGGCTCTGAGCTGTGATCTCCAGGAGCTCGTCTAGCACAGTTGGTGGCTGCTGCCGCAGCTGAGCTTTCAGCCATTTCTGAGTGCTGCAGAAACACCACAGCCCGTCAAGAACATCACAATGTACACAGAGAAAAACAGATCAGACACATGCAAACCGTGCCATGGCAGGGGATATTTCCACCACTTGGAGCCTGAGCACTCTTGCAGCTGTGCAAGAGTTGAGCTTGTGTTTTTCTACAGTACAACTCTGTAGGGGCAAAGCCCCTCACTGTATAAAAGATCCCTGTATCGAAGGGAACCTCCCTCAGCCCTCTAATCCTTTCTGGCCTCCAGACAGATGCTTGACTCTCTTTAGTTGTAGTCCCTGGGGCCTCTCCTTTCAAAGACCTGGATCACCTTTCTGTGTCAGCTGTGCTAAAGCTTGGTCTTCCAGGCCTGCTCTTATTCTAGTCTCCAAGGTGTTAGGCAACAAGCAAAACATTAACACAGTCCCAGATTATAAAGTATGACCCAGTCCTCTTGCTCTCCTTAGCCTACTGCAGCAAGACTGTGTCTCTCTACTCAGAAACCCACCCCTACTGCATATTGAAGAAGGTCCTTGAGGTAGCAACAGAAACAGACTTGCCCCTTAGGCAGAGTGACAAAAAAAGGATTACTAGTCAGAGGCAGTGTGCTCCAAGCAAGCCAAAGGGAGCGCAGTACCTCACACGCCCACTGACATTTCTGACCCAAAGTCACTCATCTGTGCAGCCAAGAAACTTAGGCAGGAAGGAAGCTCAGACATCAATGACATTTTGAGCTACAGCCACCTGCTTCAGACCCATTTCAGAGAAATGCTTTTTCAGTCCCCTCCAGACAGCTACAAGGCAGCCTTTTGAGGCACCTGTGGCAGCACTATCCCTGTGCTCTGAATACAGGCACCTTGGGCCTGGGAACCCCTCCTGGCTTTGGAGCAAGATCACAGTCATAGGATGGTTGAAGTCAGAAGGTACCTCTGGAGATCACCTAGTGTGACCTCCTGCACAGAGGAAGGATAACTAGAGCAGGTTGCTCAGGACTGTGTCCAGTCCAGTTTTGAATATCTTCAAGGATGGAGACTCCACAACTGCTCTGGGCAACTTGTTCCAGTGTTTGATCACCTTTATGGTAAAAAAAAAAAAAAGTTTTTTCTCCTGGTTAAATAGAAATTCTGTGTTTTGGGCCCACTGCCTCTTGTCTTGTCACCCAATATCACTAAGAAGATGGGCTGTGTCTTTTTTACAGGTATTTATACACATTGATAAGATGATCCTCTTGAGCTTTCTCCTCTTGAGTCTAAACAAGTCCTAGCTCTCTTAGTCTCTCCTCATATGAGAGATGCTCCAGTATCTTAATCATCTTCACAGACTGGATTCCTTCCAGTATGTCCACATCTCTCTACTGCTGAGGAGCCCAGAACTGGACCCAGATGTGTGCTAAGTAGAGAGGAAGTATCACCTCCCTCAACCTCCTGGTAGTACTTTGCTTAATGCAGCCCAGGATGCAGCCCAAGAGCCCGAGGGTTGCAGCATTCTTGGGATGTGTCTTAAACAGTGTACAGCGAGACAGGGCTCCGGTGTAAAACCAGTGTCTCACCTCAGCACCTCCAAACTCGGCATCTCTTCCCATGAAACTTTCTGACTCACATGATGTCTTCTGGGGGAGGGAATAGGACCTCATGTTGCTAAAAAGGAAGATGGCATCCCACTCACTGAGAATGTGAGCGGGAGCAGAAAGAATTAAGCCTTTTCCTTTAGTTTTTACATTGCTCTGTGACCAGAGCTTATTACAGTTCCTTCAGCTTCCTGCTCCCACTGCTGCTACATCTCGTCATTCTTAAGAACCCAATAATTTAGCAACAGAATTATTTAAACCTAGGAAAACTACAAAAAGGCTGGATTTGTACAGAAAACTGTGACTGCTTGTGGGGGAGTTCCCCTTCTTTTCCCTTCCCTTCTCTCCTAGACTGCATTAATAATCTTATCCAGTTCAGAAGCACCAAGTGACTGGCCTTACTTTTCTGCAAAGGTTTGGCCTGATGTGAGAGCCAGCAGCAAAGCTAGGACAGAACGTAGGGAATTCAACAATGACCAAGTGCGTGCATGGGGGGGGGTGAATGGAAGGCTGGGGAGAAACTCACCAGGAAAGATGGACTGGAAAGTATTTCAGAGGTTTTGCTTTAATGTCTTCCTGTTTGCTGCCCAGCCAGCACAGCTTGTGAAATCCCACACAGCAAGGGCATCGCAGAATCTGCAAATGGACCCACTCTGCCACTGACATTTCCAAATTGGTGTTGCTACATTTAGGTGTTAAAACAAAGCTGAAAAAGCCTTTTAAAGAGTCCTAGCTAGGAATATAAAGAAAAAAAAATAAAATCTACTAGTCCTTTGAAAGACATAGACCTCCTCTTGCTATTAGATAGACTAAAGCAGCACTATATCGGGACTGGAGCAGCAGGAGAGATGTCTGCTTGTCTTTTGCACAACACATTAGATTTCCATTTGTGAGAAAAATATCAAAAGATCTCTTCTGTATGACAGTGTTTCTCCTACATCAAATTCATGGTCATGTACAAATTCTTGTCAGCAAATGGTTCATGATCTTCTCAGATAGATAACTTAATTTCTCAAACTTGAGTTAGATAAAATTTCTTCCCTTGTAGGCTGGCCACCTGTTAGTGCTATCTAACCTAAAGGTTAGAATCTCCTCGCTGCATCCACTTAATGTATTATTCAGTAATTATATAATTTTCAAATATCTATTCATTAAGTTGTTTTGATTTGTGTTGAATTATATATTATATAATTAGTCTATTCTATTTTTTATATGATTCATTACTTGTCTCCTATTTACTGTGAGAAAACTTGTTTTTTGTGAACAGGAGGATATGCTTTTCTGTATATTCTTGGTTCTCACTCCAGCTTTGGGAGTTAAAACATTTCAGTCCATAAACTTTCGCAATTAAAAATAAAATAAAATTTAAAAAAAAACCTCTCTGCGTCCTTCCACTCCACATTTCAGACGAATTGCAATATAAGTGTCAAGGAACCTTACTTTCATGCTTGCCCCCCTGGCATGGGAGGGCAGATTGTCTGGGTACAGAGTAGGGCATCAAAGTGAAATAGCCAGCTTGGAAAAATAGATCAGCCAGAGCATATGGATAAAATGTCTTGAGGGAGAGTGACAATCCTGTGGGTCTGATCAGGGCTCCATATGAAGGAAGCCCCAGCTACAGTCACTCCAGAACAGTCTACAAGCTTTGGCCCTTGCTGCCCTTGAGGAAACTGATCACAGGGGACAGTCTGTACTTCAGGAAATAGCCAAAGTTGTCAGGTCTTTCTCTGAGCTACCACTGCCATTAGCTAGGAAGTTAACCAAGGGCCAAATTTGGGTCACCACTGAGTAGAGTGTGCCTGGGTGCTCTGCACCTACCTCTGTTACCTTCTAGAGTGCCATTTGCCCTTTCAAGAGTGACAAGCACTGGAGAGAAGGCTACAAGGGTCCTGGCCAGGACACACTCACCATTCGGCTGTGCTGTATCGAAGGCAGCAAGCAGGGTCCTTTTCAAAAGGTTCCTCCACTATCCTTCCTGTGCTTCATCTCTGCTAGAGGTCCTAGTTCCAGGCTGCTGATGTGTGAGAAACCCTAATTCCCCAAGAGTCTTTAATTACAGCAGCAAGAAATTCACATCCTGTCCACCACTGGGAGATGCTTCCCTACTTCCTGAGGAGCTGAGGAGGAGCAAGCCTATGCAGATAGAGTGTCTTAGGCTAGGTAATGTTATTCTGGTTCTTCAACCAAAATGGTAAATATATTTGGTCCAGAAAAGCACTTCATATGTGTCAAGAGCCAAAGACAGTGTAATCCCTGTGTGACAGAGATGGTGCTACGATGACAGAATCACAGAGGGGTTTAGCCTGTAAGGGACCTCTTGAGATCATCTAAGCCAATTCCCCTGCTCAAGCAGTGGCAGCTGAAACAGGTTATCTAGGAAGATACTCAGTCAGGTTTTTTAGTATCTCCAAAGAAGGAGACTCCACAACCTCTCTGGGCAACCTATCACATTGTCTGACCATCCTCACAGTGACATAAATAAATAAATAAACAAACAAACAAACAAACAAACAAATAAATAAATTTAAAAGGGTGTTTTCTTGTGTTTAGATGGAATTCTTTGTATTTTTGTACATTGCACTGTCCTGTCAATGAGCACTACTGAGAAGAGTCTGGCTGCCTTTTATTCATTCCTTCAGGTATCTATGTGTAGTGGTAACATCCCCTCTGAATCATAAAATCATAGAATGGTTTGGGT